AGCGGTTTCTGTCAGAGCTCTCTCAGCCCCACCTACCTCACAGGGTGTCTGTTGTGGGGAGGGGAAGGGAAAGGAGTTTGTAAGCCGCTCTGAGACTCCTTCAGGTAGTGAAGGGCGGGGTATAAATCTTCTTTCCTTCTTCCTTCTCCTCTTCCTCCTCCTCCTTTCTCCAGTAGTCCCTCAGTGGCTGTGATCACACAAACTGAATAATCCACTTCCAATCCACTTTCAATGCACTTTCCAACTGGATTTCGCCGGTTCACACAGTAACATCCAGTTGGAAAGTGCACTGAATGTGGATTGAAAGTAGATTATTTAGTGTGTGTGATCGCACCCTTTGCATTCCCAAAGCGAACTGGTCTTTCCCAATAGACCCTGTTCTCTCCCCCACCCTTTTGACATCCCATAACTCCTAAACCTGATCCTAATGTGCCATTATCCAATTTAGACTTTGGGGATTTAAGGATGTTTTAAGGCATGAGGCTTCACTTTGCCTTTTTTGGGATAACTTGGTCAGTAATCTCAAAGAAAGCCCATGTTGGCTAAAATGTAGATTCGAGAAGAAAAAAATGGCTGTTTACATGAGCACATTCATGTGTGGTGAAGTAGTGTGCAAGAGACTTCTCGGGGACATGTGGAAATCTCGAAATCTCACACGCTCCATCCTGATGTCTATTCTCTTCCCTCTGACACCCCCATCCTTTGAAAGAGATGTCACTTCAGCATTTCTCATTCTGGCTCTTCAGCTCCATCCCCATGCCAACCTAGCTCACAAAATCTCCCTGATTCTGAATTCCAGTTAACTCTTCATACCGCCAGTCTGTTACCCATTGCTTCACTTCCCAGGTAGTTTCCTTAGGCACATTTCTTTTTGACTTCCCAGCTCTTCCTTGTCTTTTGCACTACGGGCTTCCTCATTCCCAGGCATTCAGTCTCCCAATTTCCTTATTTGCCCTGCCAACTGATATATTAGCCATTACCCTCTGGCTCTGCATCCTGGTTTCAGGGCTCCTCACTCTGCCTTCCATTCTTAAACTCTCCTGCAACTCCTCGTGAAGAAAGTTTAAGCCTGTTCTTCTCCCTTTCCTGTTGACGCCTCGTTCCAGAGGGGAGCCATGTTGGTTTGCAGCGGAAGAGCTGGATTGGAGTCCAGTAGCACTAGATCCGAGTCCAAAAATATTTTCAGGGGATAAGCTATCACGAGTCAAAGTTCCTTTCGTCAGATAGGAGCTGTTGACTCCTAAATTCAGGTCTCTGCATTGCTCATATCTTGCAAATCAAACTGGTTTTACTCGTCCATCTTCCACTCTGCTAAACGGCAGTCCCCTGAACTCCTTTTTGGTTGCCACATCTGCGGCCATTGGGCATGCTTTCTGATGCGCTCACCAGTGCTCCCCCTAAGCTGTGGAGTCTTGTGAGCAAAAAATTCTACTTGGTGGTGAGCTACTGGCAGTAAAGTTGGGAGCAAGTGATTCGGCTACTCCATAATTGAGTTTGCGCTGGAGCAATGTTCCCTCTAAGCTGTGGAGACTTGTGTGCAAAAATTCTACTCTGTGAGCTACTGGCATTAAAGTTGTGAGCGAGACATTTGGCTGCTGGATCAGTTAGCTTGCTCTGGAGCCATCCCTTCCTGAGCTCAGACAAAAACGTGTGAGCCGGAGGCTAAAAAACTGTGAGCTAGCTCACACGGACTCAGCTTTGAGGGAATGCTGCTCTGGAACCATCCTTCCTGCACCAAGACAAAAAAAAGTGTGAGCCGGAGGCTATAAAAACTGTGAGCTGTCTCACACTAACTCAGCTTAGAGGGAACACTGGCGCTCCCCAGCCTTTAGCATATCCAGTGGCACTTCAGTCATCACTGGATTCTGTCCCGTCTTGCTCCCTAGATCCACCCTTCACCCCTTTCCTTGTTCCCCGCTCTGCAAGTAGCTAAAACAAATGAAACCTTTATAAGCCGCACGCTAACGTTGCTGCAGGGAATTATGCACCGGCGGTGATGTTACCTTTACTCACTCAGGCTGTTTCCAGGATCTCAGCGGCCCTGGCCGAGCTGATAGGAGGGGACACGGCATTTACTTAGCAGCACCAAATTGCTGGCTGAGGCACTGGATTCTCTGTGAGGACAGAAGGAAGCGAGAAATGTTTGCACAAGCTGTTGGTTGCCGCGTGGGTGTACCCACACTCTTTACCCCTCACCCGTCTCTGCCTGGCTTCCTTTCATAACCCACATCTGTAACGTGTCTTGCAGCCTGTTTATTCCTCTTCAGATTGAGCTGCTTCTAGGCTCGCTCCCTGTGCATACTTTATAAAGCTTCCTCCCTGAGTAAAACATGAAAACACCTGCCCCGTATCTCCTCAGCATCCTCATCTCTAGAGCTCGGCATCTAACAATGGCTGGCTTCTTTGGAAATTCATAGATTTCCCCCCTTGAGTCCGTTCACCTAGAGACCTCCCCACCCCCCCTTGATCCAGGATAAGAGAGTGGTTGGTTTCTAAGTGACGGGGAGAGGTGGGATGGAATTGCAGAAAGAGGGAAGGCGCTTGAGGAATGACTGGGGGGGGGAGAGCACAGGGAGATAGAATCAGTCTCTCCGCTGTGCTGTGTTTTCCCCCCCTCTCTGGAGAGGCCAAGCGAGAGAAAAGGGGGTTTGCTTGGAAAAGCAGGATTTAATAAAACAGAGCGTTCTGGAAAACCAAACTCTGGCTCCTGCAACAGCATGTTGACTGCCAAATGCCAAAGAGAGGTGGGTATTTAGAAAATCCGTGGTCTCCCGTTTGTTTCAATGCTTGCAGGGAGGAAAGGGCGGTTCAGAGACGGGCTCTTAGTGCATAGGTTAGGAGCCCTAGTCTCTCACGTTGGCATGTTTCTTATTTACACATCTCGGTAGGTCTTTCGCTTTGACTCCACGTGACCCGGGAACAGTTTGGGAGGAGAGGTTGGCTTGTTTTGTAGTCTTGCTTCCTAGTCGTATTTGCAGAAATACTTTCCAGACAGATGTTTTTTACAAAGGCAGGAAGCGGAATTGCTTATTAATTGAGGGGTGTACCCCAGTGTAATTAGCGCTTGCGTTAATTGGGAAATCCTCTTTAAGTCCAGCGGGAAAGGGTAAGGGGCAGATGGGCTGGGAGGGCTTCTGCTATCGAACGGTGTTGCTTTCTGCGTGTGTCATTGTGCTTAAATCGATGTCGCTGCCTCCCTCGGGTCCGGGCTTCTTTCTAATCACCTTTTAAATGTATTCTGTTTCTTTCTGTCATGCACATCTGCAGCTCCGCTTTGAGCACTTGCCACTTGTGCCAGAGTGCGTTGAAATAATTCATAACGTATCTTGATTTTAAAAAAAAATATTGTCGAATAATCAGGCTCGTTGGTGGATACGTGGCCTCCCCCCCCTTAGTGTTGGCATGGTGAATTTTGAATAGCATTAGGATAATATTTGGATAACACATTGTGCTAACACACCAACCAGATCTACTGTGGGGTTCCCCCCCCCCTCCTTCCATGGGAACAAATGTGCAAAGCGTTTTTTTACTCTGCCTTTAGTAACATTCTGAACTGTAATTTTGGAGCTTATCTATCAGGGAGTTAAGTATTCAACTGATTTACTATTGGTCTACTACAATATGGGTGCGGTGCATAACTTTGCTGTTTTCTCGCTTTTGAAACCCTCCGTATTCGCATAAAATATCTCCGCAGAAGGTTGCATCTCACATAAACATTTCAGAGGTGTTTTCTATTGTATGCTGTATATCATAGCTCTCTCTATATCCATACATATGTGCATAAAAAGCAAAACCAGATGTATTAATGCCACAGAGAAATCTAGGCTATTTTAAACCTACTGAGAGAAATATATACAACTTAAGTAGTCCCCCCCCCCCCCCCCCCTGGTGATCTCTCTCTCTCTCTCTTTTTAAAGTGGAAGAAGATAATAGACCCTGATAGAGTAACGAACGATTTACTGCCCGGCAGAGGAAAAATTAGATGTGTTCCCCCCCCCTCCAATTAGTAGAGAAAATGAAACCTCTGTACTATTGGCCGGTCTATAAATACTTGCAAATGCAATTTGCATATATGCTTGGTTGATTTAATGATGCCACAATATACAGCTCCTGACGCGATTCTTACCCAGCTACCGTTTTGGATGTGTGCACTCTCTTCTGGAACCGGTTTTTGTTTAAACGTTGCACAACGTAAACATCTGTAGGAACAGGGCCCAGTGGAAGATGTGCATTTAAGCCTGTGCATCTCGATTTAGTGTTGCTAGAATCAACTGTCCAGTTCTCTCGTGTGGTGCCATTCCAGGCAGTCAGGAGTATTTAACTCAGGTGCCAATTTGAAGTGTCCTTTAGAGAGATTAAGTTCCATTGAGCTCCGTGGGATGTACTTCTCAGTAAGCATGCTTTGGAAGGTGTTGTTTTTTTTGCCGTCGCCTCATTTCAATCTTTATTGGCTCAGTTCTTTAGAGTCCGATCTGTCGTTGGGCATATTTATTGACAAGGGACCGTAGCTTTAGTAGGCTTGTAGAGAAAATCTGCTGAAGTTGTGAATGAACTTTGAGCATAGTAATCCGGTGCTTGATTATATGATCAAACTGTTGTTTCTCTCCTAGACCTACCAACCGGCTGGGAGGAAGCGTATACTTTCGAAGGGGCAAGGTACTACATAAAGTAAGTAAAACTGACCCCACCCTCCAATCTGTTATGGAATATGTTGTAACACTCGTATGTCGTCTAACGTCCCACGTGACCATTTTATTTATTTGAGGTGTTCCTCTGTTGCAGTCAAGAGGGCAGGAACCTGTCCCGTAAAGTGGCTTATAAATAAGTTAGGATACCTGTTATGCTCTGGGAATACTGCAGTGGCTATGAAAGCATATGACAGTGTTTTGTGGAATGGGGTATTGGAACATAGCGACATAATTGTATGAGGAGGGCTTTAGTGAAGGCGCTCTGTTCTTTCCGTACAACAGTCCTGCGGGAGGGGCTGGACTGATAACCACTGATTCACCCATGCTGACCACTGAGCTTTGTAACTGAGAAGGGAATTTTGCTGGGATTTCTCTCATCTGGTGCTGAGGCACTGGGCAGGCGTCAATGGGAAGGATATTCCAGCATCCAGGGGCCAGTGTTGAAAAAGCCCTGTCTCTAATCACCAACCACCTCATTTCTGCCAGTGGGGCCACAGAGAACAAGGCTTGGAATGATTTTCTTAAGTGGAAGGCTAGATAGTGAAGGGGAAGATGAACCTAAGACGAGCCCTGCTGGATCAGACCAGTAGTCCATCTAGTCCAGCATCCTGTCCCACACAGTGGCCAGCCAGTTCCTCTGGAGGGCCAACAACAGGACGTAGAGGCCGAGGCCTTCCTCTGACGTTGCCTCCTGGCTTAGTGCCTCTGAATGTGGAGGTTCCCCTCAGTCACCATGGCTAGTAGCCATTGATGTAGCATGGAGGATAAATATACATTAATCCCCTTTTAAAGTTGTTTATTCCTGTGGCCATCACTACATCCTCTGGCAGCAAATTCCACATCGTAATCACTCTCTGCGTAAAGAAGCATTTCCTTTTGTCAGTCCTCAACCTACTGCCCAGCAGCTTCATTGGATACCCTCAAGTTCTAGTATTTTGGGAGAGCGAGAAAAATGTCTCTATGTCAACTCTCTCCACCCCCCATGCATAATCTTATAAGCCTCTATCACGCCCCCCCCTCCCCCCGTCCATCTCTTTTCTAAAATGAAAAGTCCCCGACCCTTCAGCCTTTCCTCATAGGGAAGGGGCTCCAAACCCCCCCCCCATTGTCTTGGTTGCCTTCCTCTGCTTTTTCCAGCTCTGCAATGTCCTTTTGGAGATCCGTTGACCAGAACTGTACACAGTATTCCCAATGAGGCCGCACCATAGATCTATACAAGGGCATTACAATTGTTGTTGTTCAGTCGCACAGTCGAGTAGCCGACTCTTCGCGTCCCCATGGACCAGGTCACGCCAGGCCCTCCCGTTTTCCGCCGTCCTCTGAAGTTTGCTCAATTTCATGTTCGTTGCATCTATGACACTGTCCAACCATCTCATCCTTTGCCGTCCCCGTCTTCTTTGACCTTCAATCTTTCCCAGCATCAGGGTCTTCTCCAGGGAGTGCTCCCTTCTCATTTGGTGGCCAAAGTATTTGAGCTTCAGTTTCATTATCTGGCCTTCCAGGGAACAGTCAGGGTTGATTTCTTTTAGGATTGACTGATTTGATCTTCTTGCAGTCCAAGGGACTCTCAAGAGTCTTCTCCAGCACCATAGTTCAAAAGAATCTATTCTTCGGCGCTCGGCCTTCCTTATAGTCCAACTCTCGCAGCCATACATGACTACTGGGAATACCACTGCTTTGACCATGCGGACTTTTGTTGGCAGGGTGATGTCTCTACTTTTTATCATGCTGTTTAGGTTCGCCATCGCTTTCCTCCCAAGGAGCAGGCGTCTTTTAATTTCATGGCTGCTGTCACAGTCTGCGGTGATCTGGGATCCCAGGAACGTGAAGTCTGTCACTACTTCCACGACTTCCGTTTTATTCTCAATCCATTTCCTTTATATGTTTTAATTACGGCACGGCTAATTACCTTGCCCTTGTTAGCCGCCCTGAGCCCATTCGGGAGGGCGGGATACAAATGTGAAAAATAAATAAATAAAATACATAATCCCTAACACAAAGTTTGACCCTTTTCACCGCTGCAGCATGCTGGGTTGACACTTCCACTGAGCGACCCACTATGAACCCAGGATCTTTCCCCCTCTAAGTCTCAGCGAGTTCAGACCCCCTTTAGCCTGTACCTGAAGTTGGGATGTTTTGTCCCAAATGTTCCCTCTAAGCTGTGGAGTCTTGTGAGCAAAAATCCTACTTTGTGAGCTACTACTAGCATTAAAGTTGTGAGCGAGCGATTTGGCCGCTGCATAAATTAGTTTGCTCTGGAGCCATCCTCCCTGAGCTGAGACAAAAATGTGTGAGCCGGAGGCTAGAAAACTGTGAGCTAGCTCACACTAACTCAGCTTAGAGGGAACACTGGTCCCAATGTGCATCACCGTACAGTTACCAACTTTGAACTTAATTTGTCACATTGTCGCCCGCGCACCCAGTTTGGGGAGGTCCTCTTGGAGAGCTCCTCACAGCGTTGGTTTTCACCCTCCTGAATAATTTTGTGTCCTCTGCAAACCTGGCGACTGCACTACTTACTCCTCATTCCAGATCATTGTCGAAGAAATAAAATAGTAACCCCCCCCCAGTAATGATCCTTGTGGGACCCCACCGCTTACTTCCCTCCATTGTGGGAACTGTCCGTTTCAAGCAGTGTGGCCCTAACCTATTTAGGCCCTTATGAGTAAGAATTATCTGGCTGAGTTTAACAAAAGGGCAAGTGGTGCGCAGCACGAGCAGTGTTCCCTCTAAGCTGAGTTAGTGTGAGCCGGCTCACAGTTTTTTAGCCTCCGGCTCACACATTTTTGCCTTAGCTCAGGGAGGAGGGCTCCAGAGCAGTGTTCCCTCTAAGCTGAGTTAGTGTGAGCCAGCTCACAGTTTTTTAGCCTTTGGCTCACACATTTGTGTCTTAGCTCAGGAAGGATGGCTCCAGAGCAAACTAACTTACGCAGTAGCCAAATCGCTGGCTCACAACTCTAATGCCAATAGCTCACAAAGTAGAATTTTTGCTCACAAGACTGCACAGCTTAGAGGGAACATTGCTCCAGAGCAAACTAATTTACGCAGTAGCCAAATGGCTCGCTCACAACTTTAATGCAAGTAGCTCACAAAGCAGAATTTTTGCTCACGAGACTCCACAGCTTAGAGGGAGCATTGAGCACAAGTATGATATTGATCCCTGTATCCACCGCCCCATCAGGTTTTGGACTAACGAAGCTCCGGCAGCTCCACATAGAACGCATGGCAGGAATCTAGCCTTGTTGTGTTCTGTGTATGGATCATTGTGGTTGTGGCTGACATATCAGCTGAAGCTGACAAAAGGCACCGGGTGCCACAGAGTAGCCCTCAGCCTCCTTCTATAGGTTGGGGTCAGTGTTCCCTCTAAGCTGAGCTAGTGTGAGATAGCTCAGTTTTTTAGCCTCCAGTTCACACCTTTTTGTCTTTGCTCAGGAAGGATGGCTCCAGAGCACACCAATTTATGCAGTAGCCAAATCGCTCGCTCACAGCTCTAATGCCAGTAGCTCACAAAGTAGGATTTTTGCTCACAAGACTCCACAGCTTAGAGGGAGCATTGGTTGGGGTCCAGCAACGACCCCAAGCTACGAACCTGCTCCTTGAGGGGGGAGCGCAACCCCTTCCAGGACAGGCTGGGTTTTCTGTCCTTGAGCAGCCTTGTAGTTGAGCTCAGGAACTCAAGGCTTCAGTTTTAGCAGTTCCTTTTTACAGACGTGATAGGCTTCACTTCTTGTTTCTCAGTAAACATTTGTTGTGTTGTGTACACCTTTGGGCCTGATGTTTTAGGGACGTGAGAAAACGCTTTCAAACCTTCTAGGTATAAATTGAATCCAGAATCAAAGTTAGGTGGGTGTCAGAAGAGGATAAGCCTAAAGGATCTGTGTATTTAGTGTTGTGTTCTGTGTCAGTAGCTGGAATGCTACTGGAAGACAGTGGTGTGTCTCTTACCTCTCCCTTCCCCCTGAAGTCCTCTGGTGGGGATGGCTTGGAGTCAGGAGAGCCCTGTAAACAAAATGCCTTAGGACCAGTTTGGTGTAGTGGTTAGGAGCGCGGATTGTAATTTGGGAGAACCCAATCCTCCGTGTGCAGCTGCTGGTGTGACCTTGGGTCAGTTACAAGTTCTCTCAGGAGCAGTTCTCCAGAGAGCTCTCTCAGCCCCACCTACCTGACAAGGGTGTCTGTTGTGGGGAGGGGAAGGGAAAGGAGATTGTGAGCCGCTCTGAGACTGCTTCAGGTAGTGAAGGGTGGGGCATAAATCTAATCTCTTCTTCTCTTCTTCTTACCATGAAGAAGCGGAATGACATCTCCCCCACTTTCCCATTGCACTGATGGAGCCTTTGACGGCCAAAGAGTGAGGAATAGTGATGCCAATTTCCCCCTATTCACAGCAAACCCTTATAGTGTCAGCTTCCTTGGGGATCTTAGGAGGCTTCTAGGAAAAGGTGGGAAAGATCCAGAAGTACTTTTTACTTGCGGTTTATAGATACAGCCCCCCAGTGTTTCATACTCGTTGTTGTATAGTGGTTCTCTGCTCATGTGCAGAACCAGTATGGTGTAGTAGTTTGTATGTTCACTGGGCTACCGATTCTCACCTGTCTGTCCTTCCTCACAGGGTGGTTGTGAGGGGCGAATGAAAGAAGGGAGGACTTTGTAAGTTGTCCTGAATGCTTCGGAAGTAAGGGAAGGATAAAAATTCGCTGAATAAATATTCTGAAGCCCAAAGCAATCAGGTCTTGCTTGAAGACCTTGATGGTGTACATTGGACACTGTGCATTTATCCTTCTCTTAAGTGAAGATGCAGTTCTAGCCAGATGTTTGAATTGTTTTTGGCATCCCGTGCCTAAACATCTGGGCCCACCCCATTTCGGTATTTGAGTACAAATAACCATGACTGTCCTATGTTTTGGTCTTCCCCTGTGTTTGTTTCTTTATTAATTAGAACATTCGTACCCCGCCTTTCCTCTTGACTCCAGACAGCTTCTT